ACACGATACCTCGACAGCCCGGTCCGCATCGCATCTCCGCATCGCTGCGCTCGACCGACGAGATGCTTGGTGAACTGTTGGACGTCCAGAGCTCCGCGAATATGAAGGGACGTGCAACGATCCCAGTGGCTTCGAGGTCCGCAAACATGTGGGCGAGGCACCTGCGAAGACGCGACATCCAAACGATTGCGAGGTGGCGCAAACGGGCAGCTTCAGGGGGTGCAGTGAGGCTCGGCAGCGTCCCCCGACCCAATTTCGGGTCGCTTTCGAGCCACAGAGCGTCGGGAATCGTTCGTCATGGGGGCCACCAGATGCTCTCGCGACAGCTCCTCGGCTCGAGTCGATTTGATCGAGATCATCTCAGCGCCTCCGACGGGCGCGCGGCGCCGCGGGTGACACGGTGCTCACCGCGCAATGAATGAGACGTTCGGTGCGCCAGTGCTAAGCAGAGACCTCCGGGAAAACATTCCAGGGGTGGCTTACCCAGGGTCTAGCGCACCGCTCGACCTCTGGAACTAAGTTGGGCCCCTCGTCGGTCGCCCACCATCGTTAACGGCCGTTCTCGTCATCCACGGGCTGCCCCGACGCGAACCAAGTTGCTCGCCATCGACCGGTGGTCTTTCCCGAGCGACTCGCAGTCGGGCCCGAGGCGCGGCATGGTCCACAGACCGAGCGCCGCGCCAAGTCCTGGAACCGCTGCATCGGACGCCCAGAAAACCGTGGTCGCAGAAGATACCTTGACTGCATGATTCTGTTTTTCAATGGCCATGGTTGGTCCAAAAACACGATGATGGCATATTAAATCATGCGCCATCTGGCAGTACGGGGACCGCGCAGGTCGCTCTTAGATTAAATCGTAGCCCGATCATCAGAAAACGGGACCTCCGAAACCATAGCGCAACTCTGACTTCGTATTAAACCCCCTTAGAACCTAAGATGAAAGTCAGCCTAACTTTCTACCAATATATTTCCCCTTTTCTTAATCCTTTCTAACCCTGTTATAGCTGCTTCCCGCACTGTAATAGACGGAGAGTCTTCCTGGACCTAGTGAGGCAGGTCCTCTGCCCGTTCGTCCAGTAGCCCCGGCCCCCGTATCCTACGGCAGCTGAGGTGGCGTGAGGATAACAGAGACGCCGGTGTACCGCCACTGCGTAACCTCGATAGTTCAACCGCACACGGCAGGGCAGCTCCACGTGGAGAGGTTATTATATCGTTCCGAGGGTTCATCCGCGGGATCCGGCGCCGGTAGGCGGAGGCGCGAAGCGCCGGAGACTACCGGCGCCGGATTCTTCGGGCGACGCCAGAGATACCTCCGGCGGTATCCTCCGTATCTTACAACACTCACACCCCGAGTCTGGGCTATGCACCACTAACGCTACTTTTCTGCGGCGCTGTGATTACAGGGTGAGCCTGCTAACCAGCACCGCCGCAGCTCCGGCTGAGCGCCGCTCTCCGCCGGAGCGCCGCGGATCCCAAGCTCCAGGCCGCGTCCCGCGCGGACTGAGCCACTCCGCCTACGCCTTCGCAATGCCTCACACCGCGACGAGACGCCGCCTCCGACAGCGGCGGCTTTCGGCCGCCTACCCGACCCAGCTTCCCCTTCGACTGGGGCTCAGGCCATCCATGGACATGCGCACCTCCATCTTCTCCAGTGGCCGCGCCACGTGCTTCTCCGCCATGCGGCGCCTGCGGGCAAGCAGAGATACCCCCGGCGGTATCGCCCGTATCCTATATAACTCACACCCCGAGTCTGGAGGCACCGGACGCTTCCCTCGTAGTCCGCGTCCGCGCACCGCGGTACCAACGCGGCTATCCGTCGATTACTCGGATCCCGCGACGTCGCGTAGGGCCCGGAGGCTATCGGTGCCGTTGTTCTCCGGGACTTCGCTACTTGCTCTGCGTTCACCGGGCTACAGAGTGCGACGCTCCCGCGTTTATCGGCGCCGGATTATACGGCCGAGGATGTTTCATCCGCGGCGGAGCGTCGTTCCATTGCCGCCGGTACTCGCGCGCGCGGCGCGGTGTCGTGCCGAGAGCCCTTTATTTTAATTAACACAGATCGCGTTTCAGATGCAGGCATCACATTTTTTTATGATCATCACGCGCGCTTCGGTTTCTTCTTCGCCGGCGCTTGGGGGGTCCACTCCTCGTCGTCGTCGACATCCATCCTCCGGGGTCGGTGCCACACATCCATCAATTGTGGCGAGATGCTCGGCGACATGCTCATGCGGGCCACGGGCTGCTTTGGAGTCGTGTGGCGCAGCTGGGCGAGCGGCGACCGTTTCGGCGTCGTCGCGTCGACGCGCGGGAGTTTCGTCGGCGAAGGAACGGGCACGTACACTTCGTCCGGGCACCGCTCGAAGCACGACTTGACGCCATCGAGCGTCGTCACGGTGCCGACGTTGTCGCGCCATACGACCGCGTCCGAATCCCACGCGTCCGAAGGCACGCGAACGGTCGTGCGGGTGGTCGTGGTGCTGATGTCAACCCGTTTCACGAGGAATCCGAGCGGCTTGATCAAGGGTGTCATGGTGTTCCAGCTATCTGCTTTCTTGATTGTGTTCTTGAGACTTGGCGTGATCTCGATGCGCATCATCGTTGCGTCGACGACGCCGCTGGGCGACGCTGCCGGTGTTTCGGGGGCCGCGAGTTGGACGACGGCGTCGATTGCGACGGACTGGGGCTACGGATGTGCAAGCGACGGCTTGTAATATGCGGCGCTTGGCGCGACGAGTTCGGCGCGACGACGACGAAGTCAACGGCTTCAACGACTTTGACGTTGAAGTTGCGTCGTGAGCTCCAGCGCCGCGACTCGCGCCGGCGCCCACGAATCTGCTTCCGACCGCCCCGCGGGCGCGCCGATGTCGCAGGACGACCGCGCAGCCGCGCCGCGCCGCCGGACGCGCGCGGCGGCGTTGCCGCGACGACGTCATCGCGGAGCATTAGTGGTCGACCGAGGAGTAGTAGGGGTGGGGGCGCGCGGGGGGGTCGAAGTCACGGAACGGGGATTTTTTTGTCGAATGTCATTGTGGTATGTTCGGGGAGCATAGAACGGCGCGTGTGAGGTCCGGGGGATGTCATTTCGGGGCGCGTACGCGCCGCGGCGCGAATCCCGTCGCGGGATTAACCGCGTTTTCGCGCGCGAAACGCGCGCGCTTGTCGGCGGCCAATTTCGCTCCGGAGACGTTCGTTCGCTTAGTTTTATACATGGGAAACATGGAATGTGGTTTTTTTTTATTTAGAATTTGATTTCGCCGGGCTGAAAACGGGCCCTATGCGACGGCAACTTTTTTTCGTGGTCTTTTTTTCGCGGTCTTTTTTTTCGCCTCGTGCTCCGCCAAAAATCGAAAGTCAGGGAATCGCCCCGAGTCCGTGCGTTGGAAGCGCAAATCGATCGTCGAACCATCATTTTTCGTCGAACATCGTGGTTTTGCAAGCCTCGGCGCATCCCAAGTGGCGCATCTGAAGAGTGGAAGAAGCGATGGGAGGGCACTTGCGACCGTCGATGCCAGCCATATAAAAACAAACGACGGCAGCATGAGTCGCCTCCTCATCATACTCCTCGCGCTCTCTTCAGCGCTCAAACGCGGCGGCCGCCCGCCGACGCAGCGGCGGCGCGCGCCCGCAAAGCAGCAGCAGGAGCCGCCCAGCCCCAAGCCCTGCGTCGTCGACGCGACGCCCGTGCCGGACACGTTGCCGCACATTCTCCACGCGGACGCGGACCTCGTCGTCGTCGACAAGCCCGCGGGCTGGACCCTCGACGCGACGCGCGCCTTCGCCGCGCCGGGCCTCGCCGGCCCCTCGGCCGCGGGCGCGACCGACGCCGACGGCAGCGGCGTCGCGTGCTTCGGGACCGCCGCCGCTCTGAAAAACGCCGCCTGCGCGCAGCGCGCCGTCGCCGTCGAGGCGCCGGGCGCGGCGCGCGGAAACGGCGCCGACGAGTTCGTCCGGCGGCGCGCGCTCGGCACGGACGTGCGGAGCGGCGGCGCCGCCGCGGACCTGCGCGCGCGGCTCGCGGCGCGCGGCGCGCCCGTCAAGGGCGACGCCGTCCACGGCTGCGGCGTCGACCGCGCCGCGGCCCGCGCGCTCGTCCACTGCGAACGCGTCGCGCTCGCCGACGGCCGCGCGTTCGCGGCGCCTTTGCCCGCGGACATGGCCTTCCTCGAGGACGCCGACGCGCGCCGCGACCTGCGGCGCGACGGGTCGACGACCTGCTTCCGCGAGGTCCACGGCGCGGCGGACGGCGCGCCGCCGAACTTGGCCGTCGACCGCTACGGGTCGCATCTGCTGGTGCAGCGGCCCGAGGAGGTTTCCGAGCGCGCGCGCGACGAAGTCTTGGACGGGTTGGCGCAGCGCGAGCCCTTCGAGGGCGTCTACGAGATCGTCACGCGCACGGACCGGTCCCACGGGGGCCAGGGGCTGCCGCGGCTCTTGCGGGGCGCGCCGGCGCCCCGCGACGGCTTCGCCGTCGCCGAGCACGGCTGCTCCTTCCAGGGCAGGACAAGGGTGATTCAACGTCGCTTCAACGTGAGTGTTCCGCGCGCGCGCGTTACGGAACCAGCATCGACGCTTCGAGAGCGCTCCGAGAGATGATCGCTCGTCCAAAAATTAGCCGAAACGAGCGGAAAACGACCGAGATAGGAGCCTCCAAAGTTGGGAATTTCGCACCCTTTTCCTGCCCAGGCTCCTTCCACGTCGAACTCGGGGAAGCGAAGCTGTCGACGGGCCTCTTCCTGGACCAGCGGCCCCAGCGCGCCTGGCTCGCGAGGCACGCGGAAAACCGGACCGTGCTCAACCTCTTCGCGCACGCCGGGGCCTACAGCGTGGCCGCGGCGCTCGGCGGCGCGTCTCGGACGCTGTCCGTCGACTGCGACAGGAAGTGGCTCGCGTACGAGGCGAAATCGCTCGCGTATAACGGCGTCGCCAACCCGACCGTGGACGTCGGCGGCCGGCCCTTCCCGAAGCACGACGCCATCTACGGCGACTGCTTCGCGTGGCTGCGGCGGCTCGCGAATCGGGGCGAGACGTTCGACGTCGTCATGCTCGACCCGCCGTCGACGTCGACGGTCAACGGGAAGCGCTGGTCCGCGCAGCGCGACTACGGCGCCCTCGCGGCGCTCTGCGCGCCCCTCGTGAACCCGGACGGCGGTCTGCTGTGCTGCACCACCAACGCGCGGAAGCTGCGGCCGCGGAAATTCGCGCGCGTCTGCTCCGCGGCGCTCGACGACTTCGCCGCGGACCGCGGCCTCTCGATCGTCCTGGACCGCGTCGTGCCGCCCGCCGTGGACTACCCGGTCCTCGCGGGCCAGAGCCCGGAGGTGAAGAACCTCGTCTTCCGGTTCGAGCGACGTTAAGTCACCCTCCGGTTCGAGCGGCGTTAGAAGGTTCTAGCGCGACGCGGCCTCGGCGGCCGCGGAGACGCGGCCGCCCGACGAGGGCTGGAAAACGCCGGAGCCGCGGAGCTCCTTGGAGGGCGTGAGCGGGGAGACGAGGCCGCGGTAGAGCCACTGGAAGGGGCCGGGGCTGAGGAACTTGTACATGGGGTCCTTCTTCGCCGTCTCCTCGAGCATGGCGATGTGCGTCTCGACGTTGACGATCGTGTTCGCGGCGATGACGCCGGACGCGGCGGCGCTGGGCGTGCCGATGCCCGGGAAGCACGAGTCGCCGCAGCGGAGGAGGCCGTCGACGGGCGTCTTCAGGTTCGGGAAGGGGAAGGGGATGGGCGTGAACTTGAGGAGGCCCGCGTAGGGCGCGGACGTGCCCGCGGCCCAGGCCATGCCGTAGGTGCCGCGGTCGCGGCGGAGGAACGCCTCGTGCGCGAGGGGCGACCCGACGATGTGGAACTCGGCGCGCTGACGCGCGTCCGGGATGCAGTTCTCCAGCGCCTCCCAGAGGATGTTCGCGCGCTCCTCCTTGTAGGCCTCGTAGGCCTCTGACCCGGGCTCGAGCTGCTCCCAGGGCTCGTAGGGCTCGCCGCCCGACGAGTAGACGTGGATGACGTGCTTGCCCTCGGGGCACACGGAGCGGTCCAGGAGCGACGGGATGAAGAAGGAGCAGAGATTCTGCGAGTCCTGCATGGACCGGCTCCAGTCCTGGACGATGAGGTGCGCGGGGTTCTTCGCCGTCTCGTCCTCGGCGGCGCGCCACCTGGGCAGGAAAAGGGTGCGAAATTCCCAACTTCAAAGGCTCCTATCTCGGTCGTTTTCCGCTCGTTTCGGCTGATTTTTGGACGAATCGATTGCTCTCATCGAGTTCTCGAAGCTCAGCCGAAGATTCCGGCGCAATCCGTTCAATTACGCGCACATTGAAGTCGGGTTGAATATTTGATTTCCACACAGCCCGCCACGAGGGGTGGTCCGCGAGCTTCTTCCCGTCGACGACCTTCTCCGCGTCGACGGCGACGAAGAGGTGGAGGATGGCGCCGTGGCGCGGCAGCGTGCCCAGCGTCTGGCGCCACTCCTGGAGCGCGGAAAAGCCCGGCATCTCCGGGTCCAGATCGTCCTGCGCCGGGAGCAGCTTCACCGTGTCGAAGGGCGTCGCGTTGGACACGACGGCCTTGCGCGCGCGGATGACCTTGCCGCTCTTGAGCCGGACGCCGCAGGCCCGGCCGCCCTCGACTAAAATCTCCGCGACGTGCGTGTTCAGGGAGATGTCCATGCCGAACTGCGCGCCGCCCCGGTGCAGCGCCCGCGCGATGTTCTCCGTGCCGCCCTTGGGCACGGAGTAGGAGCAGCCCGGCTCGAAGAAGCGCTCCAAGATGTAGAGCATGTGGGCCGTCATGGCGCCCTTGGCCGGGAAGCCGCAGAAGATGCACATCGTGTCGATGAAGTTCCGGAGGAACGGCTCCGTGACGAGCTGGTCCACGGTCTTGTGGAGCGAGTCGAAGGTGAGGGGCAGGTCCGCGAAGACGTCGGGGTGCGTCGCGACGTAGGGCAGGCTCCCCGCGGTCGTCGCGAGGAAGCCCGGGTCCTGGCGGAGGTTGAACAAGCACACGGCCGTCGTCGACCCGCCGAGCGTCTTCAGCCGCGACCGGAGCGCCTCGAACTCTTTGATGGCCAGCTCGCCGTCGGACGCGTGCTCCCGGAGCGACTCGTAGAAGCCGCCGGGCGCCTCGACGTCGCCGAGCTGGAACCGCCAGTACTTGACGGGGCCCGTGCCGTCGAAGTTGGACGTGGGGACCCAGTACGCGAGGCCCTGGTACGTCTCCACGGGCAGCTCGCTGTCGAGGACGTCGAGCAGGATGCGCAGCGGGTTCAGCGACGGCTTGTCCAGGCCCTCGAAGATCGACGGGCCCACCTCGAAGCTGTACTTCTCCTTGTTGTGGACCTTCGTGAACGAGTGCGCGGAGCCGCCCATCTTGATGTGGCTCTCGAGGACGATGGCCTTCTCGCCGTACTTGGCGCACATGGCGCCGCAGGCGAGGCCGCCCATGCCGCTGCCGATGACGACGACGTCGTACTCGTCGCCGGCGTCGCCGCCGCCCATGCCGTCGCCCGTGCCCTTGTACGTGGGCTTCTCGTACGCGCGCTCGCGCTCCGTGTCGTAACTGAAGGTCATGACCTTGTCGCGCGACGTCTCCTGCGTCTGCGCCACGTTCTCCGCGATGGAGCGGACGCGCGTCGGCGACCGCGCCGACCGCAGCGACGGCGCGACGAGGGCCGTCGTCGTCGTCGCGGCGAGCGCGAGGATGACGCGCATCATCGTCGTGGTCGTTGCCGGCGTTTTTTTATGGCCGCGGGCAGCGCGAGATGACGACGAAGCTCGATCTATAGCTGCAAGCGGCGAGCTGCAATGAGGTGCCAGTGGGCCCGAAGATGAAGGCTTCATTGCCCTTGTCGGCGCGCCTCCACGCCTACGAGGCTCCTACGATCGAGTCCGCGTTACTTCGCCGCGCACGCGGCGGCCTTGTCGGCGAGCCCGCAGGCGACGGTCCTGTCGACGCCGATGCCCCTGCCGTTGATGTCCGTGCCCTTGGGCGTGCTGTACTTGGCCACGGTGACCGCGACGGCGCCGTCGTTGCCCGGCGGGTCGCCGAGGGGCAGGACGGTCTGGATGACGCCCTTGCCGAAGGTGCGGTCCGAGTTGGCGCCGACGACCGTCGCCGCGCCGTTGTCCTGGAGCGCCGCGGTGAGGACCTCGGCCGCGGACGCGGTCTTGTCGTCGACGAGCACGGTCAGCTGGCGCCCCGCGTAGGGCCCGTCCTCGTTGGCGACGTAGCCGAAGGGCGCGCCGCGCTGGTCGATGACGTCGACGACCTTGGCCTCCGCCCGCAGGAAGAGCTTCGCCGTCTCGATGCCGCCCTCGAGGGACCCGCCGCCGTTGCCTCGGAGGTCGAGCACGAGCGGGCCCTTCGTCGCGTCGACCTTGGCCCGCACGAGGTCCGCCGTGTCGAGGGCGAAGGCGCGCACGCGGACGACGTTGCCGTCGCCGCGCACCGTCGAGAGCTGGACGACGGCGCGCTTGAGTTGAGCTTTGGCGGGCGCGGCTTTCCCTCGCACGTACGTCACGTCCACGGACGACCCCGCGTCGCCCCGCAGCGCCCGGATCGCCGTCGCCGGCTCTAGGTTTCCCAGGCCGTCGACGGCCGTGAGCACGTCGCCGGGCCGCAGGCCGCCCGCGTCCGCGGGCGCGCCCGGCTCGACGTCGACGACCAAAACGCCGTCCGCCGCGTCGACGACGGTGACGCCCGCGCCGGCGACGAAGGCCGCGTCGCCGAGCGTCGCGGCGACGAGCTTCGCGTAGTCGTCCGGCGCCACGTAGCGGGTGTACTTGTCGCCGAGCTTCTTCAGGAGCGCGACGACGGCCTCGCGGCCGGACTCGGGGTCCTTGGCGGCCTTCATCGCCGCGCCGCGCTCCTCGAACCAGGACAGCCCGTTGAAGGTCCGGTCGAAGAAGGCCTTGTCCGTCGTCCGCCAGGCCTCGGCGGCGAGCCGCTGCGGGCTCGTGAGCTCCTTGGCGCCGCAGGCCAAAGGCGTCGCCGCGGCGAGCGACAGGCCCAGGACCGCGGCGCCGCCGGCTTTTCTGGCGATGGCCGCGGCGCGCGGCGGCTGTGGCGTGCGCAGGCTGCTGGCTACGGCGAGCGCCGCGAGCAGCCTGCACGCTCTCGACTGACACAGCATGCTGGCAAGCTTGTGGCTCAGTGGTGTCGCACTTCAAGGTCTTGTTCAAGGTGAGCGATCACCGCTGTGGCAATTCGGTCTGGACGGCCAAGACGGGCGCGGCGCCGGCCCGCGGAGTACTGCTTGTGCGGCGCCGTGCGCTCGGAGCTGCGCTAGTTCGTCGCCGGCTTCCGCGAGGTCGTGCCCTCGACGCACATCGCGCCCCAACCGCTCCAAAAACCATGCTCCCGAAGGCCGGCCGCCGCTTCTTCTACGCCGTCGCGCGCGGCCGCGAGACGGGCGTCTTCGCGACCTGGGACCAGTGCTCCAAGGTCGTCAATGGCTTCGCCGGGGCCAAGTACAAAAAGTTCGACGACCGCGGCGCCGCCGAGGCCTTCGCGCGCGGCGACGGTGACGCAACACCGTCTGCGCCCACCCGCAAAAAGCAGCAGCCGAAGCGGACGGCGTTCGCGCCGCCGGCGGGCGTCCTCGCCGTCTACACCGACGGCGGCTGCCGCGGCAACGTCGCCGTGGACACGAACCGCACGCAGCCCGCGGGCTGGGGCTTCGTCGCCGTGCGCGACGGACACGTGCTGGCGGAGCGCTGGGGCCCCGTGGAGCTCGCGCGCGGCGCCGCGGGCTACCTCGGCGCGGAGAAGTGCTCGAACAACACGGGCGAGCTCTCGGCCATCGGCGAGGCGCTGCTCTGGCTCCGCGACGAGGACCGGGGGACGGCGCGGGCGCTGATCTGCTACGACTCCAAGTACGCGGCGAATATCACCGACGGCACGTACCGCGCGCACAAGAACGTCGACCTGGCCCGCACGTGCCAGAGCCTATTCGCGGCCGAGCGGTCGCGGCGCGCGGGCGGCGTCGCGCTCCAGCACGTCAAGGGCCACAGCGGCGACGCCTACAACGACCGCGCCGACGCGCTCGTCCAGCGCGGCATCGCCGGCGACCGGTCGGGCCGCGGCGCGGACGCGCCGCGGCCGGAGGGCGCGGACGCGCCGCGGCCGGAGGGCGCGGACGCGCCGCCTCCCGCGGCGCCGCCCATGGACGACGGCATGCGCGCGACGATCGCCGCGAAGCGCGCCGAGGCGCTCGCGCGCAAGCAGCGGCGCGCCGAGGAGCGCGCGCGGCCGTCGCCGGAGCCGAAGCGCGCGAAGCCCGCGGAGGACGTCGTCGACCTCACGGGGAGCCCCTAAGACCATCGGGGGGGCCGCTTGCATCTCGGACGATGAGACCCCGGCTCTACGTGTCGTCTTCTTAGTGCTTGCTTTCTTGGAGGGGCGGCTCACGCGCGCGTCTTGACGCCGTCCTGGTCCAGG